CTGACTCCCCCCTCCAGCAGGCAACTTCACACATTCACATTCTTATGGGGGTTGGCCTTTATGCTGCCCTTCAGGCCACCTCTACAGCCCTACTCAGCACACCCCCAGTGCAGCCCTTCAGATCACCCTTGCAACCCTACTCTACACCCCTAATGCACAGTCTTTCAGGCTGTAATGGCTCACTCTACTATGTGCGGGCCACCATACTGACTTCTGCTTCTTCACCCAGGGCCACTCTATCTCTCTGCCCCCCTCACTGGGGCCTCCAGGGTCTTACACCGCATGGGGCGCAGATGTCTGGAGACATGTCTAGCCCCTTTGCCTGTCCCTACATTAGGGTATCCCACCAGGATGTGGGGGCTGGTGTTATAAGGCACCCCTACATGCCTTTCACTAGGGAGGCAACTAGCCTGGCATTTCTGGGGAACTACCCCACCATGGGTAATCCTACCAGGCCACCCTTCCCCAGCAGGGTGTAGTTTTTGGTCATACCCAGAACCAGGAGCCTTTTGTCATCCCCATAGCTCCTGCCCTTACCTCCTTAAAGTGGCAGGCACCAAAGGTGCTTTGCCATAGTCTGTTCACTTGCTTATCAGTTCAGTCTAAACAGCTTAGACTAACCTGCAAAGACTGAACCGATTCATCCTCAGACTTTTTGACTGTCTGTACTTAGCCTAGAGAGCTGGTGAGCAGGACCATAGCTAGGAGCTGCCAAGTCTGTCCCTTGACTGCCTGATTTTCTAGCAGTTCCCTGATTGACCCCTCTGCCCTGCCTTCCAGCAGCTCCCCACTTATGTGCCATCCAACACCCCCACCATGGCTCCCCATTCACCCACAGATGCACAGCTCTCTCTGGTTCTTTCTCAGTCCAGGGCTGTAGAGTTTGGGTGATAGATTGTCTGGAGGGCTGGGGGTTAGGGAACTGTGAGCAGGGCATCCTGGGACCAACCAATTGCTGGTATTGACCCTGTGGAGCAGATTGATGTTATTGTAATGTGAGTTGCCCAACACCACCTGGAGATAATCCTCTCCTGAAGAGGCATAATTCTGAGGTACTCAAAAAGCCCCTGAACTCATCTTTTCCTGCCTTAATGCTCAGACACTCCAGTCTTAATATAATTTAACCCATGGGAAAGGTAATGCCTAACAACACCCTCACTTTGGCCAGAATGATAGAGATTTCAAGAGAAATTATTTGATGAAGTCAGTTTTCAAATACAGGGACAACTCAGAGAAGGATAATTCTTTATGGTTGCATGCAATAACATTACTAAGGCAACCAACACGGCTACAACCTAAACCCCTGCATAATATTACTAAAACATTTTGCTTTATTTCTGTACTACCTTTTGGTGCAACCTACTGTTGTGGTTCAGTAGTAGAATCCTTGTGTGCCATGCGGGACAGCTGCATTGAATTCCTGGATGCGCATATAAGTACTGCCATTGAGGCACCAAATGTCTGGACTTGGTCTGGTCTTTGGATTCTGTCTCAGTGCTCTAAGGAGGGGATGGAAGGTCTGGGCACCCTCCACTGCTCTATACGTCTGCCTAGTCGTATGTGTTAAAGGTTCTGGTGACCTCTCACGCATGCACCATGATCCAGAAGGATTGTCAGTTGCCTACTAATAACTTTCCATGCAAGGATTTCAACACACCTTACAGAGATACATAATTGCACTTCTGTGAAGAAAGGAACTATTATCTCTATGTTACAGAAGGTGGAACTGGAGCATGAAGATCCCAGAAGTTGAGGCTAGAACTCAAAAATTCTGCACTCCTGATCCTGTCCTTTGACAACATGTATTTCACTTTAAAAAGCCTAGTTCCTTGCCCACTGATGGAAACATTCTTATAAAGAAACCAAATGAAAAATATAGGATGGCATATTGTGCCTGTTTGGATGTCTGTCTGCTTCCCAGTGTTACTGTTTATAAGCAAACTGCTGTGAGTGCACCCCTAAAGCCAGTCCTGGGGCTCTGTGCTCTTTTTTCCACACTGAACAGCTGTTGTATTTACTGCAGTGAAAAAGAACATATTTAATGCACATGCTGGATTCATTCTTCTTGCTTTATCCTAGCAAGAGGAGACTTTTAGGAAAAACAATCTGTATATTTTATACAATATTTTTGTTATGTACATTGGGAGAGGGATTAAAGAAAAATGAATGCAATGGTTGATACATGATCCATTGATTGTCAACCAGTATTGTCACAGTCACACCCTCTCAGCAGGTCTCACAGCTGGTTTAGTGGTAGTGTCCTTCATTTATAGAGAGCCAAGCCTTGATGTTTACTTTAGAGTGGTACTAGCCAGGAAAGGTTGGCAGTAGTGGTCCCATAAACTACAATAGCTGAGGCTGTTACTTTATATAATATTAAGTGCATTGCACCCTGCTGTAAAGCCTGTTGTAATATTTAGATGCAACTGTGTAGTATGGTATGGATAATTCTCTTTTGGTTGGCAAATCTGAAACAGCAAATAGCTCTGCTTCATTTTAACAGCATAACAGCATTGCCATGAAGGCATTTCATCTCAAGTCAATAGCTGACTTGAGAATTGGGGTGGGTCGGGATGGGATGGGACTTGTATATAATTTGAGCTAGATGGCCCTTGATGTCCCATCCAACCTTGTGGATCTGTCTATGATTATTATTTTTGTCTGGAAAATAAAAGCTGTTTAATTGTATGGCTTCTTCAGGCATTTAGCCCCATTTTCAAAAATCGGCAATAATTTCACCATCAGCCCAGAGCATCTGTATTTAAACAAGGTAATTTCTGATTCGTCAATAGTGTTGTTTGCTTGTGGAAAAAAAAATATCTGGCACTTTATCAGGAATGCTCATGTTGATTTGCAACAGAAAAGAGTGGCTACTATTGCTAAAAACTGCTTTTACTGACTGAAATTCACCAATGACTTACCTACTTTTTGAATTGATTCAGTTTAAATAACTTATAAGTATGTTATAATATTGGATTTCTTGGACAAATGTGTTTCCTGTAAAATAAGTTGTTCTAGTGGGCTTGAAAACCCACTTGAAAACATGAGAAGAGACTGGGGGCTGATTGTAGCACAGAGGGTGGTATTGAGCATATCAAACTTTACTGATTTTTAGAAGGCCTGTTATAAAATTGATATGTCTTGGCAGGAGGTCTGACAGTTATTGGGAGATAGAAAAGTGTCTTGTAGCAGGAGAGATTTAAGAATTGTGCTTCCAAAGACTTCCTTATTATTTAGTCTAATTGTATTTTCCCTATTTAAGTCTCAAATTTAATTAAGTTAGCTGTTTGGGATTATTAGAAGGCCTAGTGAGGCCTGTCTGTTTTATGGTTATACATACTGTCATGACCCAATGATTGTGTGCGCGCTTCAGCACTGCAGAATTATTTCCCGCCACATGGAGCTTTCTTTGCACGGTGCAATTCTCAGCTGCAGAGAGAACCCCAGTGCAAAGAGTTCCCGCCACACACATGCAAATTCGTACACCATTATTGGCTGTTTCTAAATGATTCCCACGTGGCGGCCAGGGCATGGGTTTGCTGGTGAGGACTCCACAACCATCTCGTGGGGACTCTGAGCACGCGGCAGAGTAATAGAAACTTTGTGTGTGTCTCAGAGGAGTTCAGCAGCCTGATCAACCACCACCCTCTTCCCGTCTCGTTCGTTAAATTCTTCTTAAGACGTATCTACGGTTTTTTGTGCGCTCGTCAAGGGTATCCAGAGCTCTGTCGTGTTTGTTTAGCGGAGCCTAGCAAACTCCGCTCGTGTGTCTTCGGTGGAGCCTAGCAAACTCCGCTTGTGTTTGTCTGTAACTGCAACTCAAGAAAGTTTTTCCTGCCTGCACCGCAACCACCTACAGTGTAAGTAAAACAATCTTTAATTAACCGCTATGAGTCCGTGCCTAATTCTAGTCTGCCGTGCAAAAGTACCTGCCCTACCGTTGCGGGCTCCCGGCCACAGCCCACCGCGCGCCTCCGAAAGCCTCGGACCGCTCCCGGCCTGCACACATACATGAACATATGTATATTTTTATTTCCCCTTTGTAAATGATATCAGAACCAATGTGAAATGACCATAATTTATGGATAAGGGAACATATCATTATTATTGGACTTTGCTATTTTTGTGTTCTGTATATATGGTATAGATATATGAGACTTCACAGGAAAGTAAGGACCAAGGTTCTGATGGTGTTGATCACCTTGACTTCAGTGGAAATATGCTGATTTAAACCAGCTGAGAATATGTCGGTCTATGCTCCTAGAAGTTGATAATATATTTTATTTAGATTTAAACCATTAAAAAGTCTATGACAGGAAAAAAAAAAAAACAGATACAGGAAACAAAATAACTCAGCCTGACAATTTAATCAAAACCAAGGTGTCCATTTTACCCATGCTGTCTGAAGCTTCAAACTAGATGCAGTAATCCATGCTAGTGTGATCTCACACAAATTTTGCACTTTTGGATGTTGAAAGTAAATTTCCCTTAGAATGATCAGTCCTTTTTAGGTATTTATAAGCAGATGTATATGTATTCCACAAGTGTCTGTGCATGTCTGTAATGTCTGTGTGTGTCCTGCAAAGCTACTCAAATTTAGGGTCTGCCTGGTGGTGGAAATGGCATTCCAGTCACAAAGCAAATAGATCTATAAATGATTAACCAGAGCATTAAATTGTTGCTTGTTAACTTGTACTTGGAAGGGGTGGGGAGGGGAAGGGAATCAGTGAAGGTGTTCAGTGCAAGATTCTTTTCTAACCCAAAGAGGAAGGGTACTAAGAACATTCTTAAAAAAAAAAAGAAAGAAAGAAAATACGAGGGCATTTAATGCTTGTTTGCACATGAAATTCCTTTCCCAATTAAATTTAAACGTTTTTTTTTAAAGAAAGTAATGACTTGAGCTTTGATTGCAGAGCTTGAAAACAGGAATAAAGTGAAGGAAGGGAATAGTAGCGGGGGGGGGGGGGGGGGAAGTCACAGCAGCATTTTAACAGGGGATAGGAGGAGGGCTGGAACCTCCTATGAGACCAAGAGCACTGAGACCTGCTGCTTAAGCTGCCACACGTGACAACAGCTTGAAGTCAACTCAAAGTCAACAACAGAAAAAAAAAAAAAAAAGAAAGAAATCAATGTTGCGGCAGCTCCCTCCTTTAGATTGTTTTGCTTGCACCTGCTGCATGCGGCTGGCTGAGCAGAAGGCAGCAGCAGCTCTGAAACACTCTGATGAGAACAGTGGGAAAGGGAAGAGACGAGCACGACATCCCCTTCGCGGAAGCGTGCATTCTGCAGTCCATCCCAAGAATCTTTCCAGCAAGGAAGCAGCACTGCTGTATCTGACATGTCTCTAACACAGGAACCTCTGGTAGTTTGAAGGCAAAAAAAAAAAAAAAAGCCCAAGGAAGAAACCTACAAGGACATCAGGAAAGGGAGATGGCTACATAAAGGGCTCTTTGAAAATAATCCATTCTGGACAGCTCCATTTGGGTGAAGGTGCCTTTATAAAGATTCCCTCTTTGCACAGATAAAAGGAGCCAGCAAGGAGTATCCTGGATAATTCTTCAGGGGACCTTTTTGTCATTGTTTGCATTTTTTCCCTCATACATCGCTATGTGCTGACCTTTTCCAATGGAATTTGAATCCCCTGCTACTCCACCCACAGTTCCAGCTGAGAGGAAGAGCTCTTTCCTCCCCACCCCCCCATCACAACTCCTTCTTTCCTCCTGCAGACACTTCTATTTGAATAGAAGATATATCTTTTCGCTGACATTCTTTTGTTGTGACAGGGCATAACAGTTGTCTCACCTCAGGAAATAAAGGAAAAAGAGCAAAGGAATTAGAAAGACGGAAAGAAATTGTCCCCAGAGGAGAACTGAAGCAGGAAAGATAACATTAAAAATATTAAAACTCTACAAAGATCTAGAAGATCCCAAATCTTCAAGCTTTAGAAGAAAAATGTACTATAAAAAGCTCCCAAAGAGCCCATAACAATGAACAGTCATGGTGTTTCATCTGGCTGCAGCTTTTAAAAGAAAGCTTTGAGGGTGAAACTGGGGCCCTGGCCTATATGATGCCTGAAGATAAAAATGCTGGGGTCCGCACATCAGGTGCCTTAGCATCAGCTCCTTTCATTCCTAAAACTACCTATAGGAGAATTAAACGGTGTTTTAGTTTTCGAAAAGGTAGGTACAATCTGTCACTGTGTTCTGCTTTGCTTTTAAAGCCTGTTATTCTGCATTGTGAAGGAGGCTGTGTATTGGGTACAAATGAGCCTTCCAAAACAAAGGGCATGAAACAATGAAGACATCAACATTCCATGAATGATTTACTCATTTTTTGTTCACTTATTGGTGGTTGGAAAGCTTAACATTTTATCCTCTGTCTGATCACCCATGAATGGGCTGTGTGAGGTGGTATGAGACAATTATTTTGTGGTTCCTCAGAACAATCCCAAAGCGAAAATCAGTGAAAGGAGAGAGACAGTTTAACTAGTGATGACCTGATTTAGCTTCCAGATTGGTAAAATAAGACACAAGAGTCTGATTTATACTTTTGGTTGCATGGGGGCCTGCCGGGGGGGAGTGGGGGTGTGGAAGAGAGGGAAGAGGAAACAAGACAATTGCATGTGTCCAGAGGATCAAATCCTTACATCCAAAGACATCTGATAGACTGAAGTGGATTCCCTCATCATAAATTGTCCTGTTGCATATGATTGCCTTGCTTTGTATCATCCTGTTCTTCTGCAGCTTGCACTCAGTTCCACCCCACTGCAGAGACATTGTTAAAGTCAGTTCTCATCTGCATTGCACATAATGCTACTGAAATAAAGTATGACAGTTATGGGAGTAAGGCAGGCTTTTGAATATATCAGCAGGTAGTGCTTGAAGACAAAACAGTCAGCTCAGCTACAAGAAATATTAAGGGAGATGGAGGTGAGTAAACAAATTTGTTTACTCCGCTTTCTGATGAGAGTAAACTAACTTTGTCTTTCAGGACTCTGCGAAGAAGCCTATAACAGTCACGTGCTGGTTCTAAGAAGCATGTCTGAAAGGGGGAATGAAAATAAAGGGCCAAATTCTCATCTCCATTCAGAGTGGCAATAAATGGCCTTGCACAAGGGCTGATCTCTACTTTGCTCCTCCAATAGGATGAAGTTGAAGTTGCAAGGTGGTGGGATACTGGATCTAGCCCTTGTTTCCCCATACTCTGCAGAGCCTCTGTCTGTGTTCTTACCTTTTACTTTGCTATCCTTTCTTGGACTACCCCTTGGTGCTTCCACATAGAAATGACCTGCAATGTTTCAATCACCCTCAGCATATGCAGGTTGCAAGGTATTCTAGGTTATCAACCCAGCAGATCCAGTGTTAATATGGCATCTCTGTTGCCTTTTAGGGTTATCTACACTGGCAAATGTTAACAGAATGTAACCTTACAGGAGGAAGCAGTGTTAGTTAGCTAAAGTATTTTCGAAACCATACAGACAATTGGTTGATGCCCTAGCAACTCCCATTGACCTCAGTTGGAAAGGCTAGTGTTCAGTGCCTCTGGGAATCAGGTCAAGAGAGGACATATATGGTTATGTGCCAAATGTATGTGCTAATGTATCTGTTGGTGCAAACTACTCTGTAGCTCTCCATCTCCTTCACAGGCACTTAACTATTTCAGGAATGTTTAGAATTTGAGAAAAAGATTAAGAGATTAATTTCCAGACAGTTGACTATTTTTGACTGTGTGCTGCCACAGGCTTCTCACAGAGAAACAGGATTTCCAGCTGTTTGGTTTGGGGTTTGTTTGGTTTTTTTCCTTGGTTTTTTTTTTTCACATACATGTTTCAACACAAGTTCTGAAAGCTTGAGAGAAATCAATGTATTCATCAGCATAAGACAGATGCAGCTGGAGAACTTGCCATTATTCTGCTGTTTTCAGTGTTGCACTTGTTTTAGTTGCACTATGTTACAGACTCTCTCAAAAGAAATAACATGGAACAGTATGGGTCAGATTTTCAGAATTCTGTGAACATGTTAAAGTTACCCCCATATAGCACTTACAAGCACTCCCCATAGGCAAAACTTACTGAATTTAGTGTCCAATGTTAGGGCTTTATTACACGTTGCACTGTGAGCTACACAGGCGTTGATCGATGTTATTGCTAGCTTAAATTTGGAGCAGTCATGTTCAGGCCAGCAGGGGCCTGGAGAACTTAACAGTAAGAATTTCTTCCCCTCCCCTCCATCCCATTCCAGGCTTCCTTGCTGCCCTCTCCCCGCCCCGGACTTCCTACCTCCTCCGCTTACTTGTGGTTGCCAGTGCTGTCTGTCCCAGAGGAAGCAAGCAGGGAAGGGTTAACATGCCTGCCCAGCCCCTGCTGGTGCTGCCAGGCTGCCAAACTGCTGTTCTTCTCTAGACCAAATGAGTCCAGAGAGCAGCAGAGAAGGTGGCCAGAGAGGCAAGTTAACACTTCCCTGCCTGCTCCCCCAGGACAGTGTGGGCAGCCACAAGTAAGCATGGGGGGAAGGGCAATGAGTGGGGATCTGGGGTGCTGGGGAGAGAGGACAGGGGAGCAGTGGGTCTTATCCAGGCTAGCAGGGGAGGAAGGGGTGTTTAGAGTAAGATGCAGCTTCAAGTGGCTACACCTTTAGTATATAACATGAGCTGGGTAACTTGGTGGCTAGATTTGAAGCTAGCCACATCATACGTGTGCCTTAACCATGCTAGCTCTGAGGAGGATCTGTGACCAAAAGCACCTGTAGAACCCAGTCAGGACTGAGGCATGGACATGGCAAAATGTAGTCTGCCAAAAATACTAGCACTGGGAAAAATAAAATGCAAGTAAGTATTATCAACAATTCCTTTCCACTAGTATCTTCAAGTGGCAGTTTCCCTTAAGAATCATGGTGGAAGCAAGTCTTGAAAAGGAATGTGAAGGACAGAGAGGGTAGTGCCTCCTAGAAAGGCTAGGACAGAGGGGGTGCTCCATATCTAAATGCCAGCACAAAAGAAAGTAGTTAAGAGACAAGAGGGGAAACCTTTGGCTTGAACATGGCTTCTTCAGTGGAACAGAGTTGAGAACTTCCAGGTTAGGAGAGAAGCAACGACAAATGGAGAAAGTTTTTGGAGGCTGAAGTATGAATTTTTGCCAGAGGCACATTATTGGGCCTGATATAATCTGATGTGACACCCTGCAATATTTTTTATATTACCTTTCTGTCAAGTCCTTAGCTACATCTCCTTTTTTTCCATACAGTTCATTCTCTGCAAGTGGCAACCTCTAGGACCTAATTATCCTAACAGTAATATTCCATATGCACCTGTGTATAACTCCAGGGTAGATGTCTCATCTGTGCCCATTATGTTAATTGTGTGTTGAAGGAGTGCTTGAAGCTAGAAGGGTCTGAATCACACCGGAACAAACTGCTACTACTAAGGTTCCTATGGCTTTTTTAACTTGCGGAAGAGAAATTACAAACTAATGTAGATAATAAAGCAGTACCATTTACCCTTGAGCAAATCAAGGTGGTGTTTAGTCTGGGGACAGAGAGAGAGAAGGATGTTAGGAAATACTCATTTAAAGATCAGTTTCAAGTGTTCCATGGAACTTTTGCCCATTCCTGTATATTACTTGAAGCCTTTTGCTGTGTGTTCTAATACTAGAAATACCTTCACCTGATTTATCTCACTATTTTCCATCTTAATTCATTTCTGGTTTAAAGATGAGATTTACTTAAAATAAGTAAAGCCAGATTGAAAACTCATGTAAATTCCTTTGATGGCCATATAATCATAGAACATTATGGTTGGATAGGACCTGAGGAGGTCATTTAGTCCAACCCCCTGCTTAAAACAGGACCATCCCCAAATAGATCATCCCAGCCAAGGCTTTGTCTAGCTGGGTGTTAAAAACCTCTAAGGATAGAAATTCCACAACCTCTCTGGGTAACCTGTTCCAGTGCTTTACTACCTTCCTAGTGAGAGAGCTTTTAGTAATGTCTAACCTAAACTTTCTGTGCTGCAGCTCAAGACCACTGCTTCTTGTTCTATCATCTGCCACCACTGAGAACAACCTAGCTCCATCCTCTTCAAAATCACACTTCAGGTAGTTGAAGGCTATTATTAAATGCCCTCTCAGTTTTCTCTCCTGTAAACTAAATAAGCCCAGTTCCCTCAGCCTTTCCTCATAAGTCATGTGCACCAGTCCCCTAACCATTTTTGTTGCCCTCCGCTGGACTCTCTCCAATTGGTCCACATCTTTTTTGTAGTGAGGGGGCAGGTGGGGACGGGCAAAACCGGACACAGTATTCCAGATGTGGCCTCACCAGTGCTAAATAGAGGGGAATAATCACTACCCTCGACCTGCTGGGTACCCTTCTACTAATGCAGCTCAGCATGCCGTTAGCTGCCTTCACAACAAGGGTGCACTGTTGGCTGATGTTCAGCTTAGTATCCACTGAAACCCCCAGGTTCTTTTCTGCAGAGTTGCTTAGCCAGTTGGTCCCCAGTTTGTACTAGTGCATGGGATTTTTCTGACCTAACTTTGCACTTGTCTTTATTGAACCTCATGAGATTTCTTTTGGCCCATTCCTCCAATTTGTTAAGGTCTCTGTGAATCCTAGCCCTGCCCTCCAGCATATCTACTATTCCCCCCAGCTTTGTGTCATCTACAAACTTGCTGAGGGTGCACTCTATGCCATCTTCCAGATCATTGATGAGTTTACTGAACAAGACAGGTCCAAGACCAAACTGGGGCATTCCACTTGATACTAGCTGCAAACTAGACATTGAGCCATTTATTGCTACCCTTTAAGCCTGATGATCCAGACAGTTTTCTGTTCACCTTACAGTCCATTCATCCAACCCATACTTCCTTAGCTTACTTGCGAGAATGTTGTGGGAGACCATACCAAAAGCCTTGCTAAAGTCAAGGCATATCGCATCCACTAGTCTCCCCACATCAACAGAGCCAGTTCTCTCATCAAAGAAGGCAATCAGGTTGGTCAGGCATGATTTGCCTTTGGTGAATCCATGCTGACTGTTCCTGATCAGTGGTCACCTTATCCTCCTACAAGTGCTTAGAAATGGATTCCTTGATGACCTGCTCCATGATTTTTTCAGGAACTTAGGTGAGGCTGTAGTTCCCTGGATCCTCCTTCTTCCCTTTCTTTAAGATGGGCACTATATTTGCCCTTTTCCAATCATGCGGGACCTCTCCTGGCCACCACAAGCTTTCAAAAATAAAGGCCAGTGGCTCTGCAGTCACATCAGCTGACTCCTTCAGCAGCCTCAGGTGCACCACATCCAGCCTGATGTATTTGTACACATCCAGCTTTTCTGAAGAGTCCCTAACCTGTTCTTTCACCACTGTTAGCTGCTCACCTCCTCCCCAAATTGTGCTGCCAGGTGTAGTAGTCTTGGAAATGGCCTTGCCTGTGAAGATTAAGGTAAACAAGGCATTGAATACTTCAGCTTTTTCCACATTTGTAACTAGGTTGCCTCCCCCATTCAGTAAGGGACCCACACTTCAGTGATCTTCCTCTTGTTGCTGACATACTTGTAGAGACCCTTCTTGTTATTCTTCACACCCCTTGCTAGCTGCAACTCCAATTGTGCTTTGGCCTTCCTAATTTCATCTCTGTATGCTATCTCTTAAACTCCTCCCTAGTTTTTTGTCCAAGTTTCCACTTCTTTTAAGCTTCCTTTTTGTGTTTTAGATCACTGAAGACTTCCCTGCTAAGCCAAGCTGGTCTTCTGCCATGCTTGCTACTCTTCCTGTGCATTGGGATGGTTCTGTTGGCTACAAATGTCCAACTCGGGATCCTTAAAATTCTAATTTATTAGGCGGATTGAAACACTGTAATCATAAACCTTGGGGCTGCTCCCCACACGCACACACACACACACACACAGTAGCAGGCTACAGAGTCAGGTATACCTATCCTACAAGCACTGGAGTCTGTCACTGAGGCTTCTTTCAGCGTGGTGTTATCTTCCAGAAGGGGGTCGCCAGCTGGTCCTTCTGGCTGGACAGGTCTGGTCGAGTTGGAGATCAAGAGGGTGCCACTGAGGGTCACTGTTCACTGCCTTTTATCTGTCCCTGGCAGACTTTGGTGACTTCCCAGTTTTCAGGTTTGCCCAATCCAGGGGTCATTGACCCTCGTGGGACTTCCCCCCCC